AAATACCATCAATGCATAAATTAGTACAATATTTTCAGACTCTACATAGGAATGAGGATATATATGAACTTATAGGTGTACATATTGCCACCTTTGAACCTCATCTTTTCTCAAGCAATGTTGAACATTGAAGTATATCAGATGTTAATAGTTACCAGTGTTCCTGTAAACATGCAGTGCTGCCCTGTAGCAGTTTATGCAATGTGTTACTCTCTTATTAATCCTTGTGGATACTAGCCTGAATTTCATCCGATTCCTTCGAGTCGTTATAACTCCCTCAGTAACGTCTGAATCGACCAGCCGTTATGCACCTATCAATGTAAAGCCGGAGGAGGAGGGGGCAGGGCATGGTGTGGGGATTTGATTGTCTTTGTTGTCCCTGGGGTAGGGCATTTGACTGATCTTGTTCTCCCGGGGGAGGGGATATTTGAATCTTTCTTCACCCGACGTGGAGATATTTGACTGCCGACTCGGACGAAAAAGACTGAGACCGAACATATGTTTCCCGCTTCTACGCTTCACGCATGCGCCATATGGTTTGAAAAGATCAGGAAGTCATGGAGGCCAATGAGAACAAGCGAAGGCTGAGTGGATTTCACTGTTTTGTCTTCAAATTTTGTTTGTTTTAGCGTGTTTTTGATCAATTGAACCTCTTAAAATAATGTGGTATCAAAGAAAACGGAAGTAAAGAGAAACCAAGTCGATTTTTGCAAGTACAATTAATTAGTGTATGGCTCATTCGCTACAATCACTGTAAACTTATAAAACTGACGTTCTTTGTACCCTTTACTGAGAACGGTATATTTAGACTTACAAAATGTTGACTTTCTCCTAAAGGTTTATGTATTCTACGCAGTGTAACACGGATTATGGTTAAAACGTGTAATTGCAGCTGTAACAGGAACATGTATCTCTGGTGATGCAGCAACGTTTATAAAAGATTGCAGAGTTTTATTTGGAGATATTTTTATTGTGCCTTTCTTAGGTTCTGCCTTGGGATTAACAGCAATGTGCAGCCTGGGGTGGGGAAATTTGGTTGCATTTGACTGGAATGATTTGCCCGTGGGCAGGGAATTTGATTGCAAATTTTTGAAAAAAGTCAAATCCCCACCCTATGCCCTGCCTCCCCCCCCGCCGGCATTACATTGATAGGTGCATTAATGCCGTCCACTACTCCTTGACCTTTGCTTTAATTCATGCAAAAAGCAAAACACGATTTTCAATTGGCAAACCGAGAAATATCGTTTGGAAATGTCTGCATGATACAGAACTGCTTTATTTTTTTCGATTGTAGTTCATGTTTAACGTTCAAACTATCAACTGCATGCGGTACAACTCTGAACCGGTTGTACTAAATTCTATAATCAAACTCGGTCGCAATCACGCAATGAAATAAACACACACACGGAACACTTAGTAAAATATGATATTAAGCAGTATTCTGACGCTACTTAAGAATAATTTGAGTCATTTATAACTTTTTTTATTAAATAAACTATCACGGCTATTGAAAATTTAAGGTTTGAAATATATTTTCGTTTTAGTTGAATTGAAACATGCAGAATTTTTTACTTCTTACGGGGGCTGTTTGCTAAACACCAAACTTTTTAAGTTCCTAGCGTTGGATTTTCAGTAGCTGGTCTAGATCACACAAAATTCGGCTTTTATCAATTTCAAAGTTTATTGTTGTCATAGTAACATCGATTTTACTTAAAACTGCATTTTCACAAATTTCAATCCATAGCCAATTACTGGTGAAAATTTTATCGCGATCTGACAAGGAAAAAAACACTTTTAAGGCGATTGAAAAATATCGGTATGGCCGCTGAAAAACTGTATCGAAACACCTTAAAGTCCATATCTAAATTTCAATTATTGTTTCATTAGAAGAACTTTGAAACATATGTGATCTTTTATACTTTACCTTGGAGCAGGTTAAACAGAACTCATAAATTATGAAATACGTGCGTGCGTTGTACCGTTCGCGATAGCCGAATTGGGTCAAATGTCTTGTAGCAGTACCCCACACTAAAATATGGACCTGTCAACAGCTGCACCACTGTACTCAGCATTTGAATCATGAAGATATCTCAATGTTATGCTTTTAAACACCTTTAGCCGTAATAAAAGAGGTAAAAATTGTGAAGAATCAAGATGGCGGTCTCTAGGTGCCCTTGTTTGACCTTAAGCTATGTCATTAACGGTTAGATGCTAAAATCTCATTGGTTCATACGCATCAACTCATAGCACCTTCAGCCTTATTGGCCCCTGCAACAAACATCCAAACATACAAAGCCACAAAGATACATACGCTCAAAACAACTGACATATGAGCTATTTATTCAAGGAGCTCACAAAATAGGCTTTACTGAAGGAAGCGATGGTTAGAGGAGCCCGAGGTACCTTTACAGGGGCACCCAACGACAATTGTCGGAAAATATCCGGTCGGAAGACGATTTGAGAATTAGAATTTTCGGAACATTTTTTCCAAAATTTCTTGCTTGTCTGCCTCTCCTAGGATTTTCGAACATCTAAAAAATGGTATAATTGCCCATTTTTTAACGGATTTTTACCCTAAAAAGGTCACCTACAATTTTCGGAAGCCTTTTTTCTGGCTGAAATAATCGAAAAGGTAAGTTTTGATCTCTATAATTTTCGAATCATTAGACTTTCAGCTAGGAAATCCGAACAGATGAAAAATTTTTAGGGGATAAAAATATGCCTATACCTACCGTTTTAATACTAAAATACGTTTGACAATGCTATGTTCAAGGGCTTTTGAATTATATTCTCGTTGGGTGCCTCTGCCTTTATTAAATCTGCTCCTTCGTCGTCAAAATATGAGAATGCTTCAGACGCCAAAGTCGAACACTAATGCCGTAAACCAACCCCTGAAAAAATATCAACCTTTATTGTACCCTTAATTTTGTCGACAGCAGCAACGGTATTGTGTGCTATCCCTAGCCTTGGCGGGGTGGGGTGGGGGGGGGGGTAGTGAACCATACATGACCACCCTACTTCTTGTAAATTTTTGGTACAGGCGAAATTTCGGGGGCACACCCGCCTAGAGAGGAAAATTCCCCCCTTGTGCAGGGGGCCCTCGCAGGCAATCCCGACCCCAGTGCTTACGCAACCCGACTCCGCGCGGGGCGGCCATGCCGCAAAGGGCCCGGGGGTGCAGTTTGTGGCCGCGGGACCAGACCCAGGTNTTGTGCAGGGAGCCATCGCAGGCAATCTCGACCCCAGTGCTTACGCAATCCGACTCCGCGCGTGGCGGTCATGCGCAGAAGAGCTCTGGGGTCGAGATTGTGTCGCAGAGAGCAGACCAATGTATCATGGGAAATGCGCAAGTGGCGAATATATAACAATTATTCACCGAAGTGGAGGTGGCTAGTGATCGTGGTAACAGAACTGCGAAGCAGTGAGGTAAATATCCACGACTAGCCACCGACACTGAGGTGAATAATTGTTTTAGTATATACTAAAACAGTGAGATAATTGAGCACAAAAATGATGATTTTTAACTCAAATACTGTTGCCAACGATTACAATTTTGGCGCGTAATGACTGGGCGGCCGCGGCCGTCGCTTTTTCTTGCCGACAATTAAAACTTTTGAAGGCATTTGTTTAGCTCTTGCGGGGAAATTTCTTTAAAAGGAGTTGTGAATTCTTTTTGTATTTAAAATCATTCTATAAAAAAAGATTATTAAATTTAGCTTTAAGCTTATTTATGAACAACCCAACTATAAATAAAGTAACGCAGTTACTGCACTATCACTAAAGTAAACTTAATTTGCATTTGTAGACAAAAAACTTTTTCACCCGTTTTATCGATAAATTCGTGTCAAAAAGAGAAAGCTTTTCCTGTTAAAACTTCCCATCCGAACTTCGTCACCTTCTTCGTGTATTTCGGGAAAAGCTTGCTTGATTAGTTGTGAAATTTCTTTGTTTGTTTACGGCAGCAAACCGGGAAGGCATTTTGCTCGCAACTTACGCGAGTTTAGCGTCGCTCGCTCGGAGGAACTGGAGTTGAATCAGTGAATAGTGCAGGATATTCACTGATTGAGTAGCCAATCAGAGCGCGCGAAAAACACTATCCACTGTTTTAGTATATACTAAATAAATTTATGACAAGCAACTAAATTTAACAACTTACAACATTTGCATTGTAACAAAAAAATCTGATTTTACTACATGCTTGCTTAAATGCGTGGCTCGCTTTTTCGCTTTTTTGATGGAACCGATGTTTCGGAAAAAGTATAAGATATTTGTAAAAAAAATATCGGTTTAAGTGATAAATAAGATTCCAGTAAATCATTGTATAGTAAATATCATGCCCACTGGGCTAATTGCGAACATTCGCAAAGCTGATTACGTTTCCGGAAAATATGACAACACAGACCGTCTGGATGGAACAATGATTAAAAATGTTTTCTCTTTTGAATTAACCCACATTTATTCCTTGTAACATGAAAAGTAAAATACGAATTGGTTCGTGAAAACATGAAATGTTTTTAATTCGTAAAAAACGCGGAAAAGAAAATTCTGCGTAACCTTGCCGGAGATATTTTTGACATTTTCGACTACTTTATCACGCTGGTTAAAATGATGTGAAGACTTATGACAAGAGCAAGGTAAACACTTCATATTAGGCCCCGTCCACACGTATCCGGATACACAGCGTATACAGAAATTTCCACTCTGGAGAGCGTATACAGAAATCTCCGGATACACCGAGCGTATACGGCGGACACGTGTGGACGCAGGACGCTAGGTGTATCCGCATAAAAAAATTTGCGGATACAAAAATCTCCGGATACGTGTGGACGGGGCCTTAAATTCTGTTATTACGTTTACCCTACTAAAATTAAATTCAGAGCAATACAAAAGATCATCATCCTGACATAGGGAATTGAGTTGGTTGTTAAAGACTTGAAGAGTATGTCGGAGTTTTGTACTGTACATTGGGAGGGCTCTGATCTCCCTATTTTTAAAAGGTCATAGTAATTTTGAACATAGTTTTATCGGTAACAGCTACTCTTGGTAACAGCGTGATTCTGGTTGCCCTTGCTAATTACTCGTCTATTCACCCACCATCACAACTGCTCCTTAGTTCTCTAACAGTAACTGATCTTTGTGTGGGCGCCATTTCGCAGCCGTTAGTTGTAACGCTCCTATTATCCGCTCTAAAGGAATCATGGAACTTGTGCCGGATGATAGAATACTCGCTGCCTGTTACCACTACAGTTTTTAGCGGAGTATCGTTAACAGTACTTACTGCCATAGGCTTGGATAGACTCCTTGCTCTTACATTAAAATTCAGATACAGACAAATCGTAACTGTAAAGCGAGCTCGCCGGGCTGTGTTAGTGTTTTGGATCAAAAGCGGCATGATCGGAGCTCTTCACCTTGCCAGCCAGACCTTACTTTTTACAGTAGGTGCTGTACTAATACTTTTGGACGTTTTCATATCAAGCTATTCATACACAAGAATTTTTTTTGCTATCCGAAGACAACAAGCGCAAGTTCAAGTTTTTCTCCAAACAGGGAACAATACACCAAATATGGCACGCTAAAGACGGTCAGTTTTCACCGCATTATGGGTTCAGTTGACTCTGGCGATCTGTTACACACCTTTTGCCGTAGTAACTGCTGTCATCGTTGTTCGTGGTTCTAGCACGCTGCTCACTATGGCCCAGTTCTCAACACTTTCTTTACTTTACATGAACTCCTCGCTAAATGCTGCGCTTTATTGTTGGAGGATTAAAGAAGTTAGACAAGCCGTGAAACAAACTATAAGACAGTTACTCCACTGCATCTCTTGTTAGATACCTAACGGAACTCCTAAACGGATTACGAAAGAACATGAAGAAATCAAAATTATGAAGAGGAATACAGTAAAACCCGACAAGCAAGAACCTGGATTTTTATAGAACCCGTAGGGCCAAAATTTGCCAGCTAATCCTCCTCTCTACAAGAAGCTGTTTAGCCTAAAATTTGAAACAGATTCTTATTTTCTACAATTTATGTAAAAAGTTATGTACACTTGGGCAAATAAGATAAGTCAACATTCAGAATCCTCTTTGGAGACATTGGTGCCTTATCACTCCAACTGTAATGTAATGTATGCAGATTTTATATGAGGAATAAGCTGAACCACTTGATACTCTTCGCTATATTGTTTTTTTTTTCTTCAGAAAAGAAGAACCTATTTAAGAACCTAAGTAGGCTAAACTAATGCAAACGACCATTTATATGAGAACCTGTTTAGGCTAACTTGGAAAAATATAGTCGCTGGGTTTTGCCGTAGAGCAATTTAACTGGTCTAGCCAATTAACCAATTACAATATATGCCGCTTTGCTTGGGTTGAAGGTCATATTACCCAAAAGTCAATTATCAAAAATTAAAATTCCCAACTTGCACCGTAAAATCAAGCACAACAGTACTGCAAATTTCTACAAATTCATCGAAACTTCAAGGAGGAAAGAAAAATCTACGCTAAACACCTGCCAACTCCAAAAAAATATATATCCTTTTTTCCTTGACGTCACTCGCTCTCGGCTTCCTGATTTGTCAAATGAACGAGGTTTTCCATTTCAGGGTATTGTGATCCTTTACCTAACACTCGATTATAGTGTTTACTGTCATCTGTGAAATACATTCAACTTAATACACTAAACACTTCAGAATAAAGGAGACTGTTTTTTAAAGTCGACGTTGATAGTGACTTTAATAGCGACCGGGAGAAGGCCAATTTTGTAGGCCCAAAATGATTGGGCGATACACATATATGAACCCATTGCGCTCCTCGCATTTACATGTAGCTTTGCTGAGTTAAAAACGGGAGGCAAACCCTCTGACATTAGCATTTCCGAAGAGGAGATCTGACAAAATGCTAATCCCTTTCCTCTCACGTATGAGGGGCCTAGTAAGTTATTTTTATTGAGAATTTTATAGTATTGAGCATATCACAAATTTCCCCATACAGAGTCTTATATTTTTGCCATGTTCTCTACTCCAGTGACATGAGCTTGGGCGGCCTGTGATGCCACACGGATACAACAATCTCCTTTCCCACAGAGAAGTCGAAGGGCAAAGTTTGTTTCGAGCAGATGATCGCAACCCGATAACATGGAACTAGCAAACAAATCAGTGAACTAAGCACTCCTGGCACCGGGATTTTCATCCACAGCGTCAAACTGTTTTGGTGACTATGTCAAGAGAAACTAGGTCGCTGAAATGAAAGCTTTTGGGCAGTATTTTCCATGTTAGTGTTTGTTCCTCAATATAGTAGGGGCTTTAGCTCGCGAGAGTAAACACTTAGAGAAGAACAAAAATCATTCAAAAAAGAGTAGCAAACCCTTCCAGGGGCTCGAATGAGTTCTCTCCTCATCTCTTTTTTTGCCCTTTGCGCCTTCGCGTTGAAAGAGTTTTCCATGTTATTATTATAGCATTGGAATTTATGCACAATAAGTTAGGTGCTAGCTGGCAGCAGTCACAATGGCGCTATCTGTTTCCACTTTAGAGGGTAAAGTCTTTTGAATCTGTTCTGGCCCTTCTACCTCCATTGTTTCAACGCCATTTTCCTCATCTTGAGACATTCCATTACCGTTAACATCGCCGTTGAAAATGTCCATACAGACCGAAGTAGCTTGTGATTTGCTGGTTTCGACATTAAGGTCTGATGGTTCGCCATTGTCAAAGGCGTGGCTAAATATCTGCTGTCCCCAGCCACTTGTGTACAAAGTGTCATCTACTGGGCTCCAGGCCAGGCCCCGTACCACCTCTGTGTGCTCATCACTTCTGAGACTGTGAAGGTAAGAGTGAAGGGCTGTTACTGTGGGTCCAACAATGTTGGATGGTGTTGTATCAGAAAAGTTTCGCACTTTCGGCTCAGTCGACCTCGTACTTCCTACAGTCGCTTACACTGTACATGCATAGCTTGTTACAGAAGTTTTTAATGCCAGATTAAATCTCAAACTGAAACAAAAAATGGTCATGTTCTAAGAAGACTGCGTTGAGTTAATGTAAGTCTGTCATATTCAGAGTTACGTGAGATGTGTTCAGTCTGCTGTATTAATACTTACACAGTTGTATTATGAATGCAATCCTGTACATGAACCCACATATCGTCTGATACAGACGCAAGCCAATCAGGGCTATATATTTATGAAAGGAAGAAGGAGCTTTTAGTTAATTAAAGTAACATCAATAAACAACTGCATAAAAGTTTATCACAAATAGAATATCTTTAGCCTTGAGCCTTTGTTCCCCTCTCCTACAATATAATTTACGTGTGGCTATTTGCAATAATTATTTGCAATACATGTGATCACATTAAATTAACATTTTTCCTTTGTTCCTTATGGTTGAGTAGTTAACAGGTTAGACTTCCGAATCTTGAGGTTGGCCAGCTTCTTTTTCCTTGGCTCGGCTGTCATCGCATTGTTTTTCATTAGCAGTGAGAGAAACTTTCCTCCACATTGTCGTCCTTTCAGGGGCTGGGGGGAGGGGATCCTCCTATGGACTATAATCACGTTAGGGGGGAAGTGGTCATTGAGTAGTACACAGACACCTCTACTACATACCACTTATTAACCTAAAGTGAAGTCAATACAGGAAATCTGGGACCGACGCCTTGATGTATTGACCTAACGATAGCAAGGTCAATACGCCAAGGCCGAAGTGATGACCAAATGGATGAAATTAATAAGTTATTTATTACATTGCCTTTTCATTATGGACCTGAGCCTGCGATCAATTAAAACCAACTGATCAGTGGATGACTTAAAAAAACCCACGTCACCTCAATGAATTGTACATTTGAGCCCACGATACAGTCAGGTGACACTGATCAGCAGATACCCTTTTTGACAGCTGTCAATCGACCATACCATGGATGTCCATAAGCAAGCCTTAGGATTTCATTTCCCAAGGAAAACAATTTTTTGGTTCTGTGCCCAGAGATCACAGGAAACGATCAGTAACATTTTGTTCTGGTTCCGTGAAAACTCATGGGAACCCATCCTGTAAATGTTTTTAATTTTTCAAAGTCATATATTTTTTTCTTGGCCCTGGAAGCCATAAACCATTAAAGTATAATACTATTTGGGAATGATTCAAGATGGAACTGACAGATGTGAAACATTTCAGTTTCGTATATGAGTTGTAACTAAAGAATTGACCTAAAAAGTTTAATATAGTATCTGTGTGAAAAAGTAAATGGATCCCTAAGGCTGAAAATGGCACTAAGAAACTATTTTTTGGTTCTTTTATTTTAAGACCATGGTAACAACACGGTAACAGAAACTTTTGTTACCATGAAATCCTAGGGCTTGCATAAGGATGTCCACTATCATGTTAAATGCCTTGGACACCTGGGCCCAGTTGCTCGAAGCATGGTTAGCGTTAACCAGCGTTTAATACCTTGACAATGTATTGGTTTTGATACTGCTTAACCAATGGTTAACGCTAACCATGCTTTGAGCAACTCAGCCCTGGCTAGTAATGCCCAGTCTTTACAGGAAAACAGCCAGTCAGAGAGTACCTCCTAATGTAGCCATATAATAATATTATAAAGTTTCAAGCGTGGGGGTGAACAGCTTTGGCTCGGTGTGCATTGACAGGTTTTACTTCCTGCTTTCTTAATGTATGAGGAAAGAGGGAAATTAGAATCAAGTAAAATAAGTTCACCTACCTTCTAGGAGAGAAAGCTAATTTGTTCACAGCTCGTTCATGGGGACAGTAAGCTATAACAGGTTGTCTAGCATTAAGGATTTTATGAAGGCAGACTGAACCATCTTCAAAACCTGAAGCATAAATGATAAATACAGTTACAAAGGGAACTGCTGGTAGAATATAAGCTCAAATATCTCACTGCCCACATTAGAGCCAAAATCAAAATTCACAAAAGACAGTTAATTTTATATATATGTGCACCTCTCACCAAGTAGAAGGGCAATAATGGCTTTCAAGTTCAAATTTGGCTTTAAGAGCCTTGACATCTGGCATGCCATTCAAACAAACTTGGTCCATAAATAATTTCTCCAAACTAGCTATTGTAAAAACTAAGAGTGTGGGCATTGCTTGTTTCGCTTCTCCTCGCTCACTCCATTTTTCCTTTCACTTTACTTCTGTGGGGTGATTTCCGGGCTTATTACACGTAAAAAACTCGCTTTTTTGCATTTTATATTAACAGCTACAATTTTTGGCAGCCACGTTTTCAACAATCCAGCTTAAGTTGTTTCCAAAGAATTCTGCCAGCCTTTCAAAACTGCCATTTTGGACAAGCAAACTTCATTTCATGTCATTTGGCTTTGGACCATCTTGTTTTGGAGAATCATCTACAATAGCTCTGGGTTTTTGAAAATGTTTCTCCCCAAAAGTCCTTCTTTTCTCATTTCCAACCAGTTAATGTCATCATAGTCATCTCTAATAAAGCCAATATCTAAGATTGTGACAACTGCCTTCTCAGTTTTTTCTTTTCCTTCTTCTGTTCTCCTCTCTCTCTCTATTTTCAAATCATTCTCCTTTTCCTTCAGTAGTGTGATTGTCAGGTTTGTCAGAACTAGAAAAATCATATTTTTGACCTCAATCTGGTCAAATGACAGTCACTACAACAATTTTTCAGTTACCACGTGTTAGCGACCTCTTTTTGTCCCAGGGTGGGACAATTATTTTAACACCTACCAATTGCAAGAACATTATGGTCTAATGGACTCCAATCTACACATCGTGGAATACTGTTGTACTGGGTGGAATCTAAACGGGAAAAAATGTTTAAAAGGGGTATTTCTAGGTGTTCAAGAAGTATCGTTGGTTGGTTAATCATGGAGTTCTGGTATGAAAATGATCAGTTGCTTTTCATTTGGTGGTCATCAGGGTTGCATCATATGCAACATCAAGAAATTGTCAAAAAAGCTGCCCTAGAACAAACAATAACATGAAAACAGTATTATTTGAAAGAAAACATGTCACAGATGTATTTTTGAACTCAAAAGAGGCGATTGAATGCACTCCTATATGTATAATCTCTGACTTTCACTAGTTAACTTAATACTGGTATAACTTTGGTATAATACTAACCTGACAACTTGGAAGCAATTTTCGGAGCTCTTGTATCCCAAAGAATAACCCGCCCATCCTGCAATTACAGAAAAAAAAATTCTCAGTTTTCATGATTTAAAAAGTATTACTGAATATGAATGGATGTGAAGAACAGCCCTGTAATGAACATTTCATTATAAAGGAAAGGCTGTGCACTTATATGAAAAAGTCCTTTTCTTGACAAAAGGTCAGTTTGTACATGACACTGCAGAGCTGAGAAAAAGAAGAATTTAAAGGTAGGCACAAACTAGGTGACAAGTCACATTAACATGTTACAGCAACACTCTGTGAAAGCCCACATAAATTCAAACTAATTTGATCTCATGCAACTTGTCACAGTAAAAGAATTCTGTTGCAAAAATAAAGAATTTTACAAAAATTCTCCAGTACACATAGCACCATTTGGCCCTTCATTGTGTTGCTGCAACTTGTTGCTCAACCTGTTCACAAGGAGTGGTTTGTCACTGCAATGTGTTAGAGTGACATGTTGCCCACTGTTTTCCGAAGATCAGGAAAGAAAAATAGTTTTGATGGAGACAAACCTGTGACACTGACACAAACAAATCTTGTTGAGTTCTGCTGTAAGCAGTGCTCCATACCATGTCACTGTGACCTAAAAATTAAATATCAGCACACCATAAAAAAAAACACATCATCTGATAAACTCATGGAAAAATATCTGAAGATTATATGAATGTTTTATTGCAAATGGCAGTAATAATAAGAGGCTTCAAATCTTCGAAAATTTGAAGTGCTGCCTGAAATTATTCCCTGGTGAGAAGTTACATTGGTATGCCCACATGTGGGAGTACACTCACAGTACTACTATACTGAACACAATTCAATGCTAGCTTAGCAGGCTACCACCCCATCCAAGGGCATGTTCTTGCTCAATAGATAACACCATTTTAAGTAACAAACACCTTACAGCTGTATAATATTCATCAATTCTAAGCCTTTCTGTTATGATCAGTGCTCCTTCCAGGGACGACAGAGGAGTTCTTTTTTCTACAGGGTTAGAACAAGTAAGAAACAGAAGTTGGAGTATTAATAGCAGACCTATGTAAACAACACATCATGTACCTCTGTAAGATTTTATGCATCTTTCTTGTTCAATATCCCATACTTTGATACTGAAAGGACAAGTCAAGAATAACGTATAGTCATTTAAAAATTATAATTATCAATGAGCATTAAGTTGAAGTTCTCTGCTATTATATCACTGGAGTTGCATTCTAATCAACTGTTTTTAAGATCAAAATTTGAAATAGAATACTGGCCTAAGAACAACTCTAGCATTTATTTGGGTACCCGGTAACTCAGTAGCAAGCTGTGTCATGCTTCCTGGATACTGTAAGGATCAGCAATACTGAAAGCATCCTAGACATGGGTGCATTTTGAATTTGAGAACAGTTTGGATAAAAAAGATTAAGGTTAATCCATAAATTGAAATAAATAGTGGCATCATTCACACCCTTGAGAGAATTTCCACCCTAGCTGTTTCATTCAAAACATTTCTCCATAATCCCATATATGTAATTTTTAAAAAAGACTTAATTTCACTAGTGATAGAGTTGTAACTTGAGGTGTAAAAGTTTTTATAGCCCAGTAGAAAAAAAAAAAGAATCGGAGTCATAAGCAGAGTCAAAAACCCTGGCTTCACCAACACTCAGGGTCTTTAAATAACTAAGAAAGTGCTGCCTTTGTAATGATATCTGCAAATCGTTAGACTTTCTAGTTTTCTCAGATAAGGATGAAAAGCCGTAGGTCCCATCTCACAGCACTTTCACTGATCTGTTCTTGAAGAACCCACACCATGGTTTGAAAAGTGTAAGGGGTCATAGACCCTGGTGGTGTGGCCAACCTATACCGGTTGTGGGATTGGGTAGGAATGGTTCCTCGCATGGGAGTGTCATTCATGCCTATTCCCTCTGGGCGGGCCTGTGTCCAGAAAAGCTGGTGAACAAAAAAACAAAACAAAGCAAAACAAAAGCTCAAAGGAATTGGAGTCACAATAACAGAATGTTTCCATCTTCTTCTGACTCCACTTATGACAGATTATCAGAGTTGAAAGCAAAAGGGGAAGGATAAACAATGTTTGTTTCCACTCCTAGTGAGTTTAGTTTTTCCACTTCTTCTTGTGACTCTAACAACCTACTTTCACAAGATCTAAGGTGACAGAGTTGTATACACAGAATGGCACTCTGTTTTCACCAGATCATACACAGGGGGCATCGCTGAAACACACCACGGTTTTCAGGCTTATGAGTCTTAAAAAGGGTATGCAATAAATTTCACTATCTTATGCCTTGAACAGCCTTTAGACCAGAAGCCTTTCAAAGAATGTGAAGATTGGTGATGAGCAGTCTTCATTTGTGGTAGCAGCAATTTTTTCCAAAAAATCTACTTGCATAATTTCAGAAAAAATTCAGGGTAATCAAATAAAGCCTCTTGTCTCAACCCATCTGCCCCTGGACCGCCCGTAACTGCCCATGAGGATCCATGTCCCATCTACCACTTGTGATTTCAATACCAGAATGACCATGATTCGGTCAAGGAGGCCGGACAAAAAGCATAAAGCTACTGGCTATAAGCCAGTAAGCTCAAAAAACTGAGGCAAGAAAAGAGAAAGAGGGAAGAAGAGAAAGCGAAGAGAAAAAGTTAACTTTTAAACCCAAAAGCCTCCAAATTTTGCTTTCCGTGCATGCCTAAACTTGGCAAGCTAATATTTTGCATCTGGCATTTATCAGAAGTCCGCGAAGTGCACGACCTGTGAACGGTTTTGTGGGAAGCTTTAGCACTTTATGGCCAGACAGAGACCAGAAAACAACTCGACTAACTTCAGATTTCGACAGTTGCTTTTTTAAGACTTTTAAAGAAAATCTGCGAGAAAAAGATCTGTGCATATCTTGAAACTGCTGAGAGGAAAAATGCTGGTATCCAACGAAGCCTCATTACATTCTCCTCGATCTGCATACATTTGTGTTTTTTCATCTCAGCTTCAAGAGATCCTCATATAAATAAATTTAACAATTTTTTCACTATGGAAACGACCCAAGCGAGCGAAAGAAAAAAAGATAAAACATTAAACTATTACAAACCTTCTATCCCAGCCAGCACTAACAATTTTACTCTTAATGCAATCCACACTAACAGACGAAACTGAGTTGTCATGTTCCGTCAACGATGCAATGTTTTCCAAGCTTTGAAAGCTCCCACTAAGACACCAAATGTCAACATTCCCCGAATCACATCCAAGGACCAATCTCCTGGAATCGATCCATTTAATATCTGTGGTTCCTGATTCAGTAGAACACCCAGCACTGCAGTAATTAACATCAGGCGCTTTAGCACGATCTTTGAACAACCATAACGAACCATTCCATTTTCGACCTGTTAGCGCTGAGGAGGCGACTGCTAGAGTGCCGTCTGCAAGTAAATGGCAGATTATTTAGAGAGATTGGACAATGAAAATCATTGAATTAAATGTTGACGAAGAAAACAGCGGAAACCTTCTTCGATATCGATGGCGTCGACGTGAGGATGAAGCTCCGCTGGAAGAACCTCCATCTTTCAAATATGATCTTTTTGAGTGCACGTGCCGTTTGGTTGGATTAACAACGTCATGTATTATTCCATGGAAATGCCTTTGGTCGAGTTCGACCACGTGACTACTCTCACAATAGGTCTGGCGGGATGCGGGATTTGGCTATATTTTGTGGTGATACTTGGGATGCAAGCTGAAAACAGGAGCGGGATGCGGGAATTTTAATAACTAGCGGGAGCGGGATTTCCTATTTTTATGGGGATGGGATGCGGGAATCGTAAGAGAAAAATAGTGGGATACGGGAATTTAGTTTGTTTATTAGCGTCGACTGAAAGAAAATGGTTCTTTAGTGTGTATATCGCCTTTGTATTCAAGCTACGAGTGTCAAAAGAAAGTAAAGCCTGTCAAATTGTCAAATTGCCTGCCCATTATCACCTTTGTGTGTTGTTCGTCTTTTCCGGTTTTGCTATTTTCGTCGTTTTCGTCACTCGGAAAGAGGTATCAAATCACTGAGGTTAGAGGTTAAGTTCATTAAGATCCTGCATTGATCAGCACTGACTCCTGTTTTGTTGACGGATTTGACCTTTTCTGTTTTTACCTGGACGGACCGGTCGGACCTGGACGATCCTTTGAACTGAGCGTTTGTTACGTCAGTCTGGCCACGGTATGGCCACACCAGAACTGATGGAAGTGAACGATGACGACAATGTGGTAGCTCTGTATTACGTAGAAGGTGCCAGTGGGAATACATGTAATGCGTTTCTTCCGAAAAAAAAAAAATTAGAGCTCCGGTTTCAAGGTAAGTGAAGACCTTGAAAGTTTTAAAAGAAACAGTCAGGTGAGTCGACCTGAGTTTAAGAGTTCAAGAAAAGTCAAAAGAAATCTGAGTTTCATCGACTTCATTATCCTTGTAATAGATCTATCAGGATCTATTATACGGTAACCTGGGATGGTAGTTTCGAAAACGAAGCACTCGAAAACGAAGACCGAAGCACGAAGCACCCAAAACTCGAAAACGAAGCACCCAAATCTCGAAAACGAAGCACCCTAGATCGAAAACGAAGCACCCTAAATCTCGAAAACGAAGCACCCTAGATCGAAAACGAAGCACCCAAAACTCGAAAACGAAGCACCCAAA